TTTACCTAAACTATTACTTTTAGATTGCAACTCCAAAGACTTTTAATCTCCACCAAGATTATGGTGTTGCTAATTTTTATGATCCGCGACAATAATTCTAATAATCTTAATGAATAATAATTTTAGAGTAAAACTAAGATATAAATATACGTACGATTATGAACTATGTATTTAGGTTTTGTATGTGGCACTTCTTGTACAATCGCAAATTTTACTTCAGCAAAATCATTTTCATCCATTCCTAAACGTGCTTGAAGGCGCAACTTGGTCGCTGAAAAAAGCTCGCCCTATTTATACAAATATAAAGTAAATTCAGAATATATTGTAAATTACATGAAAAACGCATATATAATCAGAGACACTAACAGCTTTAACAACAAATTTGAATGGGATTCCGTGTGTGTATGAAGGATTCTTGGTAAAATGATATACTTGGACAACTTTATCATTGCGCTTTTTCCCAATTTCCCCTTGAGGTATTTCCTAAATGCAAAGTAATTTATTTTAAAAAGGGAATAAAAGGATTCAAAAGCTATAAGAAAATATGAAAAAACCAACCTCTGCATATAATGTCGCATTTTCCGGTATTTTATCTATTGGACTGTTAAGTTTATTATATTCTTTTAAAATCTTGCAATTCGTAATTTCAAATAACCTAATTTTATTGGTGGGTCCTGGCAATGAAAGTTTTCGTAAAATGTCTTCTAAAAAATCATCGATTATAGCTTTCTTTGGAAGAAGGACATTAATCGCTTCCTTTAAATAAATAAATAAATAATTAATTAATTAATTAATTAATTAAATTAGCTAGTTAATGTATTAATCAAAATATTTACAATTTCCTTTAAAGTCGTTCCTAGCCAGTACACTTTAAAGTGCATCATATTTTCTAATTCGACAATGCTAAAATCTAATATCTCATAATATATAAGATTTGCCGTGGGTAGAGATCGATAGCGTACCGGAAGCATCGACCTTAATTTTAGATAATTTCTTCTTTTGATGATAGTTCTAGGTGTGCCGAATGTTACATCAGCTGACGTAAAACGTAATTTCAAAGGATCTATATTTAGATATGCAGCAACGTGGCTAGCAACCTATATATTAGGAAGTACGTTATTTTAAATAATTACTGTGATAATTATCTCATAAATCGTAAAATTATTTTAACATACAACATCGTATGCATAATCCTTGTCTAGGGCTAACTTAAATTTAGGTTTTTGTTTTTCATCTTTAAATTTTGGCCAGAATTGAACGATGATCCGTGTGGATAATGACTTATAGAATGTAGGAATATCACCTGTCTGATTTCTAAAAGAAAAATATTTTCTTAAGCAATAATGAATTAATAAACCAATAAGCAAGACTAGATTAATAAATAATTCACATTTCTACGAATTCCTTTTGAAAACAAATTATATCACCATCTTTTAGATCATTTGTTACTTCAATCATGCTTGTTCTGTTTTTTTCCTATTTTTTTTTAGCAAAAGCGTTGTGAACAAGAATGAATGCAAACCCAAAATACAATAATATAAATAGCCTTACTTTGTATACTCGTAATGGTGTATGTGGTGGAAATTCTTTTTTCTCGCATAGAATTGGAATAATGTCATCAACTTCATATGGCTTTTGTATATATATATGACCAAGTCCTCTATTACATAAATATAACAAATAATTAATAACATAAATAATAAATTAATAATAAAATAATTAATAAAATTATTAACAAATTGATAATAAAATTAATATTAAAAAATTAATTAAATTAATAATAAAATTAATAATAAATTGATAATAAAATTAATAATAAAAATATAATAAAATTAATAATAAAATTAATAAAATTAATAATATAATTAATAAAATTAATAATAAATTAATGAAACATACTCTAAATATTTTGTATTAGGGTCAAAATACTTGACAAAAATCATTACGTAAGGATTTCTCACTGTTGGCGGGAACCATGTCTATACATATCAAATAAATGAAAATGAAATATATGTTTGGTAATATGTGTAATAAATAATTAAAAGATTACCTGGCCATTAATTGGTTTGTGTGCAATTTCCAAATACAAATTCATTTCATTTTGTCTCAGACCCATTCTCTGGTAAACTCTACCCATTGCTATTCATCATAAAAAGTAAAAGATTTATCATAAACAAAATAAAATCATAGGAATCTTATCTACGAATCACTTACAAAAATTAGCATAATAGTCTGTAATTGGCGTAATATAAATTTGCGTAAATACCCAAAATCTTATTTGTTCAGTTGGAATTTCAAGTTTGGCAGCATGTCTAGCTTTGAAGTTTCTATATGTTTCAATTTTCAAAACTTCAAATTGTGAAACTTTAGATAGCGGATCATTAAAATTAGCAACACCATAATCTTGGTGGAGATTAAAAGTCTTTGGAGTTGCAATCTAAAAGTAATAGTTTAGGTAAA